TAACATCATGATAAATGCTACAGGAACCATTCTTAATTAATATGGATAGTTTTCGTTCTTGAAGCTGACCAATGCTAAGGAGATTTGATTTAAGATCAAGAATGTAAAATACTTGTGACGACCATAACCCGTCCATCTATTTTCATTCGAATTTTTCCTTTTCCCATGACAGCCAATTTGGAATCATTTCCTAGCTTCACACTGTGTCAGAATGATTTATCAATTTCAGTGAACCATTTCATGTCTCCACTCATGTGATTACTGCACCCGGAGTCCAGAAACCATACTTCATCTCATGTGGCTCCTTGCATTTCCACATATGACATAAGAAGCATCTCGTCACCATCATTCAGCTATGCATTTTCTACATAATTGGCATAGGTGGGACATTCGTGTTGGAAATGTCCCAGCTTGTGACATCGATAACACTCAACTGTGGATTTATTGAATGCTCTGCCTCTGCCTCTACCTCTGTATCCTCCATGTCCTCTACCTCTGTCGCTGAATCGTTCCTCAACTCGTGAATTTGAACCGTCTCCTGTAACCTTCAATGCTTTTTCAGTCACATCCTTTCATTTAATCTTGTATTCATGTATAAGTAATGAACTTTGCAGTTCATCTACTGTCATCGTATTGATATCATTGGATTCTTCGATTGAGCATACAATATAATTGTACTTGCCAGATAGTGTGCGCTGAATCTTCTCAACGATATGTCTATCCTCCATGGTCTCTCCTGCTCCTCTCATGTCATTTGCAGTTAACATGACTCTAGACATATAATCATTCACACACTCACCATTTTGCATTTCTAGAATTTTGAAATCCCGGCGTAGCCTTTGGAGTTGAGCTCGTTGAACTCGAGCATTCCCCTGATATTTTCGCTTCATTGAATCCCACAGTGCTTTTGAGGTGGATTTGTTGGTGATTGTTTTCAAAATATTTTTGTCAATAGATTGAAACAGATAATTCTTTTCCTTCAAATCCTTTAGCTTTTTCTCCTCCAAGGTTCGATGTTCCGCTGCTGTGAGTGACTCCGGCGTTTTAGGCTCTTCATAGCCTTGCTCCACTAAGCTCCAGTACTCCTTTGATCTCAGCAAATTTTCCATTAGCATGGACCAGTGATCATAATCTCCATCGAACTTTGGGATACTGAGAAGATTATTGCCTTCAGATATGGCTTGTTGTTTCCTCTCTCTTTATTTTTTTTCTTACTATCGATCAGGCCCTTGTGTGAGCTCTGATACCACTGTTAAAATGAGATGATAGCTATCAAGCTTGTTTTATTGAACGTAAATGAATGGCTTTATATGTAGCCAGTATAGAAATAGAAAAGAAGTAAAATAAGGACCGTGATTTACATGACTAGATCATGGCTATTTCTAGAGAAGAATAAATCAAACAAAGAATCCTATTCTTAAAGAATAGGCTTATTCATAACAATTAAATAACTCTAAGCTTGAATAAGTCAAAACTAACTAACAACACTATTCTAACACTCACCGTATTTAAAAAATAAATCTATCGGATTTTTACTTGATGCTTCCAATAAATTTTCCTTTTACTAATTTTTTACTAAAATTATAATACTAAAATTATAAGATTTGAGAGAAGTAAATAATAAAAGAGAATTTTTAGCCTTAAGAAATTATGTAGGGGGTGCTAGTTCACCTATAGGGGGTGCCTGGTATACTCCTTGTCTCTTCACGAACCCTTTCTCTCTAGGTCCCATAAAATCATTTCAGTTCAAAATTAATTTTGATATTAATGTCTTTGAAAATTACTTAATACACTCCATAACTTTTTAAAGAATCACGCGAAAATACTATAATACTCCTAAGTTTCGAAGATGTATTTTTGGATGTACCTCACATTCTATAAGTTGTTGAACAAGACCATATATCAGTGAAAATAATATACCAGAGATGCATCTACATAAACCCTCTATAGATACATCTTTGGACACTTCCAACTTCAATATATATGTTATCCAAGACCTAATGTTACGCAAAATTATTTTGGAGATACATCTCTTATATTCTGACCTAGATGTATATCTGGACGATATTATCTCAAATACGTGTCATCATTCATTCCCCTACCCCACTTACTCTTACTCTTTGAAGAACTAATTTCCTCAAAATACTCTATAGTCCATTTGTGGGAAACTTCATCATTCTTCATCAAACAACAATCAAGCTTCATAAAACATTAGTTTTCAAACAATTGAGCATCAAGAATCAAGTATTGGAGAGAAATTGTAATAATTTTTTTAACTTTATTGAGTTAACGTAAAATTATTTAGAAGTTGAGTTTTAGGTTATTTAATCGAAAGATTTTAAGTGTTTGCTAGCTTAGAACTACTGAAGAACATTTTAGTTGAGTTGTTTTGATGGTGATGTCGAACAGGTATGGAAGCACAGAGCGTATGCTATGAGAGCATACATGTTGTATTTAGTTGACACTGCTATTTTTGTGGACAAGAGTGTCACTTATGTAGATGTCATATACCTATGATACTTTGAGGATTTTGAGTAGATCCATGAGTATAATTGGGGGCGTTTGTTTGATCTACTTGTACTCTAAATCATCTAAAGAATGTATGTGAAAGACGAAACACGTGATCGACAATATCACACTTTTGACGGTAATATTTCTTGGTCTTCTATTGATTGTATCATGGAGATTGAGCGGAGGTATTGATGAAGGTAGAGGTGTTCAAAATCAAATCGACATAAACTGAACCGCAAAGTCAAACCGAACTAAACTGAAACCGCAAAAAATCGCATTTAATCCAGATGTGTTTTGGTCATTTTCTAACAGAACTGCGCGGTTCGGTTTGTAATTTGTATTTTGTGAACCAAACCAAACCACTTTATATTATAAAATCTTACTAACCAATATATATTTCTTTAATTCTTTAGAGAAATCAGCATGTATTATGTGTATATTTTATCATATTTTTTGTATGACATTTATTTTAATTTATAAATCATAAAAATTAAAATATTATTCATTATTTTCACAAAATATATTTTATCGTATTCTTCGTATAATATTTATTTAAGAATGCAATCTTATGTATATCATTCTTTAGATTTAGATAAAATTATAATATACAATTTTTTAGGTATTAAATTTAAAATTTATTTTAACAATTATAAATTTTTTTATGGTAATGTATAAATGATTAAACACAAAATTATATTTTCTTCTATACGTGGATGTGTGACTCAATATCTTTTTTGTAATAATCCAAACCAACCAAACCAATTCAAACCGCATTAGTTTGGTTTGGTTTGGTTCAATTTTATTTTTAAATATCAATTGAACCAAATCGAACTGCACATTTTTTTCTCTTGCGGTTCGGATGATTTTTTGCTTCAAAACCATCCAAATCGCACCGTGAACGCCCCTGGATGGAGGACTCTTTTCGGATGGCTCTGATGCGAGGAATATTATAGATTTCGTGATGGCAGAGGCTCGGGAGGCTCTGCAGTACATGAGGCAACGCAAGAACGTGAAGAGACGAGGGCGAGGCCGACTCATAGTCCGACATACGCAATAAATTATTGTATTATGTACACTTGACACATTTTAGATTGTATTTTATTTATCGACTTTAATATAACTCTTGATACTATATATATATATATATATATATATATATATATATATATATATATATATATATATATATATATATATATATATATATATATATATATATATATATATATATATATATATATATATATATATATATATATATATATATATATATATATATATATATATATATATATATATATATATATATATATATATATATATATATATATATATATATATATATATATATATATATATATATATATATATATATATATATATATATATATATATATATATATATATATATATATATATATATATATATATATATATATATATATATATATATATATATATATATATATAATCGATTCTTAAAAAATGTTCCGTCTACATAATTTTCAGAAATACACCTCTAACCAAATTACATAAATATATCTCCAAAAAAAACAAGCGTTTACCAAAAAAAAGATACGTCTGAATATACATATCCGAAAATTGAAGAGCTTTTTGAAAATTGTATAGGAAAAGGCATTTCAAAACATTTCGTTTGTTTTTAGTAAAAATTTGTAAACTAATGTTGAGACTCTGGAAGAATTAGCCACTCATTTGATTCAAGATTTATGGATTAAACTAAAAAAATAGTGCATCCGAAGATACAAATCCGAAAATTGAAGAGCTTTTTAGAAATTGTATAGTGTTTTGGGGGTATATAGGGTGCTTCGAGAAATCCCGTTGTGTTTTTAGCAAAAATTTGTAAACTAATGTTGAAACTCTTTAGAATAATTAGCCACTCATTTGATTCAAGACTCGTGGATTAAACTCCATAGATTAATATTTAAAGTTGCGCATAAAATAAACGATTTACACCAAACAAACAAAAAAACTAATGTTGAAACCAACGATTCATTTACTAAATAAGTCCAAAATAATATTCTGTCTGACCTATATTTGAATTATGAACCCAAATTACAAAATAATACAGAACTTGTACATCATTGAAACCAACAATCCAACATCCTTGATCTGCTGTTGAAATACAATAATGAATCACGGCTGAATAACTAGGAAGGCAAGATGTTAGAAACCCCACAGCCCTAAACTCCATAATGGTGCATATAGTTTAGTTACTTGTTACTCAAGTACATATGTTTAAATTATACTGTGTCCATTATTCGCCTAAGCAGCTAAGATCTTTCTGGAAACACTGACCACAGATGATAAACATCCTGATAAATCAATGCAGGTATGATTTGGTAACCTGCCAGTGCACCAGCAATGCAATTATTGCTATAGAAGCTATTGAAGGAATGCGTTTGATATTCAATAACTATAATGTAAGTGTTCCATTCTCTCAGTGAAGGGCATCTATCTTCCACAGTGTATCATTTGGATGCTTCAATTCTAGTGCTCCCCAGAATATTGGCGGATTTTTCTACAAAGAAAAAAAGAAGAGTTCAAGGTAAAAAATATAGGTGAAAGGCAGTAAGAACCTTTGAAGTGTTTAACTACTTTGGCAGAAAGTGTTCCATTTGGACTTCAAATTTTAAGGTTGAAGAGCTTACCACAAGGAAGATCTTGGCAGAGAATGAGATTCTTCATGCTCAATATCACATTCTTCTTTGCTGCCACCTCCACTGGCTGCAGCCACTTTGCTTTCAGCATCTATAGTTCCTTTGCTAATATTTTCTTTGACTGTATCGGAATTGTCTTCACCTGCTTCGGAAGTATTTGACACACAGTATTTATGCAGCCATCTACCTGTTTCCCAAAGGACATGCATGATGCTTTCTCTGGAAGAATAACCATGGCTTTCATAAGGCAGAATCACCAGCCGACAAAGAGCACCATGACCCTTCAGAGCGCTGAAAAACCTGTCTGACTGCATAGCAGCACAAAGCATAGAAGCAGCAAGAAATTGGCTAAAGTAAGTCTACAAGAGGGTTTATTTCTTTCAAATACTGCAATAGTCAGTTAGTGACTGTTTACAAGAATAATAGATGTGGAAATTTCTATCTTACCTGCATGGTTAATGTTCCTGGATTATTATCCTCTTCCCCATGGATAAGCAAGATAGGCTTCTTAATTTTATTAGCGGACATGAAGGGACTCATCTCGACATAGGTATTAGTGGCCTCCCAAAGAGTTCTATCTTCATTCTACAGAAGAAAGTATTGTATAAGATGTAAGATATTCATTTCTAAAGGATGTTTTATGGAAAGATGATTAAAAGGAACTGTGGAGCAAAAGACAATTTATGGAAAATACTAGGCAATTGGAATAATAAAAATCGAGCCATTATATAGGTAGTACCTGAAAACCAAAAGGAGTAAGTGTTCTATTGTAAGCACCAGAACGAGCAATTCCACAACAAAAGAGATGAGGGGCGTGTGCTAGGAGGTTGGCAGTCATGAACGCACCATAGGAATGTCCACCAACAGCTATTTTCTTTGGATGAGCTACCTAAACGGGACAACCGAAAAATGCTTGATTCAAATGATATTTCTAATGGATTGATAACTTAATCTACTACACAAGTAAAAACAAAAGCTTACCCCACGCCGGATAACTTCTTCCACAGCGGCCTCTGCACTTGCAACTAATTGCTCTACATAGCTGGTTTATATAGATATTTAATCAGATAAACATAATCAGATAAACTTTAACTGCTTATGAAGTATGGAGTGTGATTACTTCAATAAAATTTGAAAATGCAGAACAAGAAACCCACTGAAGAAACCTACACCTCAAAAGAGTGAAGAAGCCAAATATGAGAGATGAAACTGAAGAAGAGGAGAATTCTCTAGGTGCTTAAGAGCAATTATTTAGTAGTAAGTAAACAGTAAAGATCCCACAGCTATAACAGTACTGCTATCAATTTACCTATCGTTTGCCTCTTCTTTACCCTCACCGATGATAGGAATGGTGGGCCCAGATAGAATTGCAAACCTGCAGTACTCAAAGTAATCAAAGAACAGTCCAGCTAATTTAACTCAAAATATACTGAACCGGAACAGAGGAACTAAATAATGCCAAATCATCTAGAGCAGGACAACACAGATAATTGTCAAAGATATTTTCACACCTTTGAGCCAGCCAAAGAAGAGGCGATGTGGAACCGATCCCAGCAAACTCATTTGGAGAACCACGAACTTGGCTAGCAGCATCTTTGCTCTTAAATTCTCCAGGGTAAGACCAAACTAAACATGGCAAAGGACCGTCTGTTGATGGATTGTAACCAGGTGGCAAGTATAATGTAGCAGTAAGCTGAACCCCATCTTTCCTTTGATACCTGATCATCTCTTTCTGCAATGATGCAAGCTGAGGGTATGGATGAGGGAAATTTGTAACCTTAACTCTTTTTGCATCTGGCCAGCTAACAAAGTAATATTGGGTGTTCTCTGTTTTTGACTCTTTTGAAATCAGTATTTTTAGCCTATCTAACTGTAAATCCCCTTCTTCTTGATCAGACATTAGAGCAACAACAGTCTCAAAATACTTTTCCTTATCACTCTCCCAGATTCGTTCTTTATTACCTGTATGTCTGTAACATTTTGGTCAAAACCACAGGAGCATAAATGAGACTCTGTGAGGGTATACACCAGAAACAAATAATTTAAGACACTTACATGTCAAACAGATCAAGGAATGGAATGTTCCCTTCTGGTGTTGCACCACTTCCCTTCAGTAAGATATATCTTCCTTCATCGCCCCCCTTCTTTATCTTGGCAATAGTATAGGTCCCAGTTTGGGTTCTCCGCAACATGGGAGAGCCAGGGTCAGAGTACACATCTTCTGAAGATCGATCGAATAGGATGCGTGGAGCCACATCTTCAGATCCAGGAGAGATTACCCATGTTCTTATTCGCCTTGTTTTAAACCAAGATTCGTATACAAAAGCTAACGAATCATCACACCAAGAAATTCCTCTGTAGATACAGAAAAAAAAAAAACATCAACCATGAACTTGATCAGTCCTTTTCCTAACAGGTGTTATATGATGGACATACATGTCAGACTATGAGTATCCAAACCAAATGTTGGTCATGATGATCAAGCATGTAAATAGAAATGAATAGCACTAGCATAGAATATTTGAAAATAAGTGAAACTTTGCATTTAAGTCATAATGTCAACTGCAAACCTCGGCTTTGAGCAGCACATTTGAAATGCTAAGAAAGAATATACAATTTTAGAAAAGGATCCGATTATGTCCAAATAGGTTGATGGCTAAATGTGAATCAATAATTTGTATTCATACCCATAGCGGAGATCAAGCTTGTGTAATATCACCGGTGGTTCACCTTCTAGTGGTTCAGCAGGTTGTGAGTAGACTATATCACGAGGAGAAACTTCCACTTTTGCATCACCCCCATCTTGAGTTTCTACCCTAGAAACCTCAAATGAAGAAATTTTAACCGAAAGAAATCATAAAACAAATAGATATGTAACTAATGGGACTACAAAAACAACATAAAATGCAAGGACAAACATATCTTAAGCAAAATAAAGGAAATGTTAAGCTTGACTGTGAGAAGTTCATATGATGAAAAAGTCAAAAACTAACCATAAAAGGGGGAAGAAAATGAGATAAGCCAGTTGGAGAAAAGATCGGTAAGTGATCAACTATTGACTTGCAAATTGCAATAATTCAGTAAAAAGTAAAACATAATTTCAAATGCCTAAACATAATATTCCATAAGAGCCCCCAAACATTGTGATACAAGTGGACAACATATGAATGTATGGATACATGTATACAGGTAAGCTTAACCGTATACCAGAGTGGTTTGGTTGCTCATAAAAACTGCACGATTAGTACTATTGCATGCCAATGAACTTCATTATTAATACATTCTTGGGAGGTTTAAGTTTACAAACACTTAAAAGAGTTTGAGAAAAAATAATAAAAATTATTTCAACTTCAGATCTGAAAATGTCTAAATAAATAAGAAGTGCATGCTTTATAAGTTGACTTAAATTATTATAGTAATTTATAATGTTGCCAAAGTACATGCCCAAGAAGAAATATAAATTAAAAACTCGGATTTATACCAGTAAAGTGTTGATGGCTTATCAGCTCTCCAATTAATAGAACGCATCCCTTTTCGCACACTATTGGATGTAATTGGTATGTCTTCGGCAAGCGGCAAATCACAAAGCTCCCTGACAAATTTACCATCAGCACTCCATAACTCTACCTTCTTTGGAAATATTCCACACGGTGCAATAAAAGAGTATGGCCTGTGCAGTGAATTAATCATAATGTACTTCTCATCTGGGGAAGGGTCCAGAGAGGTATAAACAGCTGGTGGTCCAAAATTCTTTGTAGTACCATCCAAAGATGCTAAAACAAGCTGAGATGTTGCATAGTAGTCAAACAAATCTTCATCATATTCATCCTTCAGCAAATCCTGATATGTTCTTACTTGAATAACGCTTTTCATTTCATTAGATTGAATTTTCGGCCCCCCAGGAACCAGAGGTTTCTTCGGTGGAGCTGCACGAGTAGATGGAATGGTGCAAACTAACAATGTAGAATTATCTACCCAAACATAGTTCTCAAAAACTGCATTCAAATATACATCAGGAGACTGAAACAAAGGTCTGGCATTCCCTGTTTCCACATCTGCAATCCATACTTTGAGCTTACTAGTATTATTATCTTCCTCGTTCACACGAACACTGAATGACAAATGGCGAGCATCCGGAGACCAACTAACAAAATTTATCTTCGCGCCTTCAGGGAAACCATGCACCTCAACCTCTGGTCCTAATGTACCATCAGGAAGAATTTGATGGATCCCTAAACCGGTGTAGAATGACATTCGACTCCTTGAATTGCAATGTCCATCAATGCGTATTCCGGCTAACTTTTCCTCCGGCCTTGCTAACTCAGTCAGTGGAGGTAAAGCTCTTCGTTTAAGAAAAATAATTTTGTCTCTATGTGGTGAAAATGACAATGCAGGAACAGGCGGAGCATCAACGATGTCCCTGATCACTGGTGGAGGAACACGATAGCCTACTCCTAAAGTCGAATCATCTAACATCAACCAATTAAAACAAACATCAGCGAATAGAAACAGCAATATAATCTAGACATTAAAATGGCAGTTAGTTTAGTTCCACTTCAATCAGAAACTCAAATACTAAATCTAAAAATTGCAAGGCTTACCTTCAGTACATAAAGACTAAGGGTCTGTTTGGACAAACTTATCTGAGTTTAGTTATTGGCATAAGTACTTGTGAGTCTGCTTGAGGGAGTTTATGAAAACAACTTATGACTTGTTCATAAGCTTTTTTTCAGCTCATTTAGATAAGCTCTTAAGAATAGCTCATAAATACAGTTTATAACCTATACAGAAACAATTTGACTTTATTTTGTCTTTTCATATAAAAATAAGGCCTTATGATTTTAACAAGATTGAATTTGGATTGGCGGTGAACAAAATTGATTTTAACATAATTGAGTTTGATAGAATTGATTTTAGCGATTGAGTTTAGCAAAATTGATTTATGAGTATATACCTAAGCATGTGTCTGGATTGGCGGTGGACAAAATTGATTTTAACATAATTGAGTTTGGTAGAATTGATTTTAACAAATTGAGTTTAGCATAATTGATTTATGTTTGAATACATTTATGTAAAAGTGAGTCAAACAATAAAATTTAATGTAAAAATCATGTTTAAATTCATAAGATACAAATCCTAATAACTTCTAGTACAATCAATCTTGAGACAGAATCTGTTCTACTTTATCAAAACCAAACTCCTCAAAATCACTCAGTGAATCAATTCTTCACTTCATGTGCACACTTTTCAGGAGCTTAAACTTTAACAGTTGCTAACGCAAAACTCTACACTATAAGTAAACACGAAGGTGAAAAATCGTCCAATTAATCAAAGATTTCATCAGCAGTAAAAGATTTTAACTAATTCAAAATAAGTTCATGAATCATCAAATCAGTTAATAGTAAAGGAGTGAGAATTGAGTAAACCTTCGTAATCAGTGAAATTATCGACTGCGGCGGAGGGAGAAACGGAGCCGTTGACGGCTCCGGCGGCGCTATCTTCGGTGGACACAGCAGCGAGAGGTGTTATATGGCTAAGCCGCGAGGTGGACATAGAGGCGAAGTTGGCGGAGGTTCTGTAACGGAGAGTGGGGGTGAAGGGAGGAAGGAGGGGAAGAAGAGAAGGATTGGAAGGGAGAGATAGTGGCGAAGATAAAGAGAGGAGAGTGAGGCGATGGTAGAGTTTATGCATCCGCATCATTGATTGATTGCTAAAATTATTCTATTCTATTCTTGCTTGATATTTTATTTTCCCTGCTGTTACGATATCTAGATTTTTTTAATAACTTTTTGAAATAAAAAATGACTTTATAGTCTTTTAATTTACGTAAATTTGGATGTTTTTTATTTTCGAAAATTCTTACATTAAAAAAATCATATATTAATATTCTTAAAAACAATTAATAAAAATAGAGAAAATTTTAAAATTATTTAAATTTTATTTTATTTTAAACTGAATTATGAGATGGTTGTGATTATGATGGAGAAATAAAATATTATACTTATTTTTAATTAATTAAAATTTTATGATCGATTGTGTGTAAAATTAATTCTTATGATTGTGTCTGTCTAAGAATTTTTCTTTATTTTCATCCGTATGTTTTTTTTCTTTGAAATAATTCTTAGACGTAAAATTCTTTAAATTTTAGCTTTTAAAGTTAAAATCTGCAGAACAATTAGTTAATTTTTTGTGTTTTCTTATGGATTTTAATTACTACTTTTACTTTGTGCGACGCATAGGACAAATTATGAATAGATATCTTATGTGATAAAAGAAATTTGTATTTTTGTTATTGAATAGTTGAAGTTCATAGAAATAAGTGATGGAATAATGAGTTGAAGTAATTAATATTAAATATTATTAATATATTAAATAATATTTATTGAAAAAATAATAATGTGATTAAAATTCTTTAAATAAAATTTTACTTAAAATTTAATGATTAAGTGTATATTTTATATTAACATATTAAAATTTGTAAAGAGTAAAACTAAAAATTTTTAACATAGATTATTTCTAAGAAAAAAACTATACATAATAAAATACATGCTAACAAAAGACTATTTAAGTCTATAAAAATAATGAAAATGTGAACAATATAAAAATTAATTTTATATTATTAATTAATAACGATCATATATTTCGTTAAATCAAGTTAAAAATTTTAAATTATTTTTAGTATATAACAAAGTAATATATTTTATTAATTATAGTATAAAATATTTTTACAATGCGTTTCTATTAAATTAAAAAAAAAATTCCTTCAGTTCCCTACTTTTATTTTATTCCACCAAATGACAAAATATTAACCTAACAAAACGTCTATTATTATTTTATTATATTAATTAATAAAAAAATTAAAATATTGTTAATAACTAATAAATATAAAAACAATAATTATTAATTAACTATAATACTAGAAAGATCAAGAGCGGTAAACTTGATCTAGTATAAGAAATGTGAAGGTGCACGTCGTTAAGTATTAGAAATCATATATATATATATATATATATATATATATATATATATATATATATATATATATATATATATATATATATATATATATATATATATATATATATATATATATATATATAATACTAGAGTTTAATTTTTCTAAACTTTAACTTTCCTTTACTATTAACGAGTTTAATTTACCTAAACCCTAATCATCAATTCTCCACTTTCCATTAACAAATTGAATACTCATAATAATCTTCACAAAATAGGAGTTATACTCAACACATATTTTGTAGGTTGATGACATATTCATTTTCTACAAACACAACCTAGCAAATATCAATGTCATTATTCATCTGTTCACTTCTTACTCTTAAACCTCTCATCTAGTCATAAGCAAGCACCAACAAAACTACTATTTTCTCTTTCCCTATTTCTTCTGCAAGACTTAACAAGTTTGCCAATCTTCCAAGTTTCAACAAAGGCTCGAGGGCAGACTTAAGGCTTGTTACCTGCAGCCTATTGGAGACAGTGTAATGGCTAAACTATCTGTTTAAAAGCATACTTACTGTCAATTGTAGAACAAGTCAAATCAGTCATTCAGAGCATTGATTCACTATATATTTTTCTATGCATGGCCTATGGCTTTGCTAAAGTAATTGAAAACCACCACTAAAATTTTTATTTCGAGTGGTGTGTTACTAAAAAGAAGATGTTTAGTGTGGCCTGGAAGAAGGTTTGTTAACCTTACTCTCAAGATGGGTTAGGGGTTTGATTTATAATTTGCTCCGATGAAGCTTCTAATCTTAAGCTTTGATGGAACATAATTCTTTTAGAGAAACCTTGGGATATTTTCTTAAAAGTAGAGTGCACATATCCTATTGAGTCGTCAAGCACCATATACTTTCCTCTATATGACCTAGCATCAAATTTGAGCATGATGTCTTTATAGATCATAAAACTCGGCTAATTAGTGATGAGAATTCTATGAAATTTTAGACTGATGCATGGGATGGTGACCTTATCCTTCATGTTATCCATCAGAGGAGTGTTGATGAAAATGTCATAAATTTTAATTCTCATGTAGGTGATTTTATCTGTGCTAATAGATGGAATTTTCCTATTGACGAGTTAACTCATTTCTCTTCCTAAGGCAACGTGTGTTGCAAGTAATATTTCCCCCACTCAACAGAAAGATCAATTAATTTGGAAAACCTCCACTTTAGGTGACGTGTCCCTCAAAGATGCTTATGTATTCGAATTACATATGAAATGGTCAAGTTTCATGGTTGCAACATGGCTTCTATTTGAAACTTTTGATGTTAACATGAAGAATCTTCTTTTCATATTTTTTATTTCAATTATGCAGTAAAAATTTGGTGTTGGATTTCTTTATTCTTTTACTCAACTTATAATTCTCCTCTTTTTTATACTTAGTGGATAAAATGTAATTGTGAAGGGACTTCCTTAACAATCTTAGAATTTCCTCATATGGTAGTATTTTCACGAATAGACTGGGCCTTTTTTTATGTGTCTTTATTGAAGACTTGGGTTGGAACAAATCTCTCATTGTTAATCTCTTTAGGGCTCAGAGAGTGTGAAAAATAGGAATAAGAAACTTTCGAAATGTGCTTGAGTGAGTAAAGCACTCGACAACTTTAATATTTATACACACTATATAATTAATTACATATTATATTTACAAGGAGAAATAAATAATAGTACAACTCCTTAAATGCATGAATCTAAATATACATGAACCTAAGACTTAAATGCTCATTTTAGTGGGAAACATACAATTTATTTTTTCTATTTCCAACACTCCCCCTCAAGCTGGTGAATAAGTATTCTCCATTCCCAGCATGGATACAATTCGTTCAAAATTAGTGCTACTCAATTCTTTAGTGAGAATATCTGCAAGTTCCCCTTGTTAGGACATATATGGGGTGGAAATCATCCCACTATCAAGCTTCTCCTTAATGAAGTGTCTATCAACCTCAATATTCTTAGTTCGATCATGTTGAACTGGATTATGTGTTATACTGATAGCTGACTTACTATCACAGTAGAGCTTCATGGGTCCTTCTGATTTGATTTTCAAATCTTATAAAATAATTTTGAGCAAAAGTAATTCACAAATGCCTTATGCCATGGCTCAAAATTCAGTTTCTGCACTAGAATGGGCTACTACATTTTGCTTCTTACTCCTTAAAGTCACAAGATTTCTTCCAAGAAAGGGGAAATACCTTGTAGTCGATCTTCTATCAACAATTGAACCTGCATAATCTGCATCAGTGTAGGCCTCAGGGGTTGTATTTCCATTTCTTTTCAAAAAAATTCCTCTTCCTGAAGTTCCCTTAAGATACTGTAGGATTCTATGAACTGCTTGTAAATAGTTTTCTTTAGAATAATGCATGAACTGCCTAGCTATACTTACAACATATGCAATATCAGATCTAGTGTGAGACAAGTAAATTAATCTCCCAACTAGACGTTGATACATTTCTTAACCTACTGCAACATCTTCTTCTGTATTACTCAATTTAAGATTTGGATCCACAGGAACGCTCGTAGATTTACATGTTGTTTTTCCTGTATCTTTGAGTAAATTTGTAATGTATTTTTGTTGAGATATAAAAATTCCTTTTCGAGAATGTGCCACCACGATTCCTAAGAAGTACTTCAGCTTTCCAAGAGTTTTTATTTCAAATTCCTTAGCCAAACACTGACTCGTGATTTGTTACTCCTTTCAATCATCTCATGTCATTATAATGTCATCCACATATACTAACAGAACTGTTACTCCCCTTTGTGGCGAGTGTTTGATGAACAAGGTGTGATCCCCTTGACTTTGCTTGTACCCTAAAGATGTCATAACCTTAGTGAATCTTCCAAACCATGCTCGAGGTGATTGTTTTAGATCATATAACGCCTTTTTCAACCTGCAAACTGTATTGTCAAACACATTTTTTTCATACCCCAGTGGTACCTGCATATAAATATCCTCTTCGAGTTCCCCATGTAAGAAGGAATTCTTCACATCAAATTGTTGTAAATCCCAACCCTAATTGGCACCAAGTGACAAAATTACTCTCACTATATTCATCTTTGCAATCGGAGAAAATGTCTCCAATAGTCAATTTCATAAGTTTGTGTAAACCCTTTGGCAACCAAACTGGCTTTATATCTTTCGATTGATCCATCAGCCCTATATTTTACCGTCTACACCCATTTGCATCCAACCAGCCTCTTTCCTTCTGGTAAAGTCACTAACTCCCAAGTTCCATTCTTCTTCAATGCGTCCATTTCAATATTCATGGCTTGCTTCTATTTGTCATCAGACAATGCCTCAAAAACATTAGTAGGTATGAAAGTAGCATTTAGGTTTGTAAGGAAGGCTCTATGGGTAGGTGAGAATTTTTTAAAAGAAAGATAGTTTGAAAGGGGATATAAAAGATGTTTGGTGCATTTTCTGGTACCTTTTCTAATAGCAATTGGAAGGTCTAGGTCATCATCTATTATTTGGGTCATCATTTTATCTTATAATTCAAAAGAATTAATTACCTCATTCGAAGGAGTCGAGTTAGACTCTTGAACTTGTGTCGATTCAGGAATGGCCTTTGAATTTCTCATATAAATCAGATTCTTTCCATATCTTACACCCACTTCAGGTCCAAGTTCAGCAAGTGGTATATTTAATTGATTTGACTTAACTCCTAGTTCTTCAGCCTCAGATGGGTCTGGTACAAGTGTGTTTAACTCAGGACCAGAAAGATTGGGTCTATTTGACTCTAAGCTGAAATAATTAGGTGGAGTTGACTCGAGATCGGAGAGATTGAGTGTATTTGACTCAAGACCAAAAAGATTGAGATTTTCAAGCTTATCTTCCTTAAAATTCTCCCCCTGAAGATAAGGTTGAGTGAATTATGATTCCTCCTCATGAAAGGTAACATTCTGCGACACGAAAAAATTTTTAGATGGAGGATAGAAACACTTATATCCCTTTTGAGTAGAGGAATACCCGACAAAAACACATCTTATGGCTATATGGTCAAGTTTTTTTCTGTCTTGACTATGCACATGGACAAATGAGACACATCCAAAGATTCTAGGTTTAAGATTACTACTTACTGACAAATTTGGATAGAAGGAAGAAAGAACATCCGTAGGACTCTTGAACCCTAATAATCTAGAGGATAATCGATTAATAAGATATGTACTAGTGAGAACAACCTCCCTCCATAAATATTTTGGAACATTTTGATGAAACAATAGTGCTCGAATTTGGTCTAATAGATGCTCAATTTTCCTTTATGCAATTCCATTTTGTTGTGGTGTTTTAACACAAGAAGACTCATGGACAATTCCCTCTTTTTGACAGAAAGAAGTAAGAACATGATTGAAGTACTCTTTTCCATTATCATACCTAAGCCTTTTGATGTTTACTCCAAATTGATTTTTAATCATGTAGAAAAACTTTGGGAAAATAGTACTGACGTCAGACTTGTTTTGGAGTAAAAACATCCAAGTAACCTGGATACAATCGTCTATAAAAGTAACAAACCACCTAGCACATGTTACATTTGGATTGGTTGAGGGATCCCAAACATTTGAATGAATAAGATAGAAGGGGGAAATGCTTCTTTTGTTGTTTAATGGAAAAGGTGAACGCTTATGTTTAGCAAACTCACACAAATCACAATGAAGACTTACAATATCTACCTTATTGAATAAAGATGGAAACAAAACTTTAATGACTCCAAAAGAAGGATGACCTAATCGACAATGAAAAAGAAATATTTTTTTTCTTTTTGGAGAGTATTGACTCTGACATAAATGAGTGAGACAAGTGAACTTTTATACACTGATTTGGTTCTTCAAGATAGTAAAGGTCTTTCTTTTCTCTAGTACATCCAATCATTTTTCCCGACTCCTTATCCTGAAATATACAATAATCATTATGAAAAGTAACACTACAGGATAAATCATTTGTAAGTTTTTGTATGGAGACAATGTTCATGAATAGTTTTGGAACATGGAGGACCCTTTTTAAGGTTATAGAATGATTTATTTGGATATCTCTAATGCCCGCTACAGCTACAAGAGTACCATCTACAATAGAAATCTTTTTATTACTGGGACAAGGGGAATATGTGGAGAATTATTTCGAAGAGGGTGTCATGTGGTTTGTGGCTTCTGAATCTAATATCTAAAATAAACTAGGTATTTATGAGACATGAAATCCAAATGAGAATGAAAACTTATCAGAATACGCTACACTGCAATTACTTGATGACTTTTCCATACTATTGGTCATGAAGGAGCAACAACCAAATATTTATGTATAAGATACCAAAGAAAACAAGATTCGATGAAGATATCAACTCAGAAAATATAGAGACAACGACTGGAACTGCGCATAAAGCGGCTGAAAAAAGTGCAGAGCGGTACCGACGGCTGCAGAAACTATACGGACAACTATCGGAAAAGTATAGATAGCGTTTAATTGGAAAAAAAAATTGACAGCAAGTGTTGTCCAATCAAGATTGAAGTGTTATGACAGCATAAAAATGCCCAGTCAGATTTCTAAAGAATGATTAGCGGAAATAGAATTTCCTAAATTAGGAGCTCTGATGCCATGTGAAAAATAGGAATAAGAAATTTAAGAAATTTTTTGAATGTACTTGAATGAGTAAAGCACTCAACAATTTTGATATTTTACACACACTATATAATTAATTACATATTATGTTTACAAGGAGAAATAAATAATAGTGCAACTCCCTAAATATATGAATCTAAAAATACATGAACCTAAGACTTAAATGCATATTAGTGAAAAACATGCCATTTATTTTTTTTCTATTTCCAACTGAGAGCTATAAAAGTAGCCAAAGATAACTGTCTGGAACAACCTGTGTTATAAATCTAAAATATTCACTTTTAAACAATTATGCACCAAAAATACCTCGGTCTCATCTCTCTGTTATTGAGTCATTTAGAATTGGAAGAATCTACCTTAAACATGTGCCACTCTATGTAAGATTGCTCGTGATTCTCTCTTTACATATGCAATGAGAACTCATAGAAACATGACCAATGATACACTTAGGAACAACAACAAAAATACATTCAAAAATCTAATCACTCACCAATTGTCAAATAGATTCTTATCTATATCCAATTTATATCAAATAAATCACTCACATTTCTATCTTAATTCTGATCCTATAAAAAATACAAAACTGTTATGACAGTTTGGTTTAGTTCAAAAGAAGTCATTAACAGTTTAAGTCCAGTTTAATTTGAAAGGAATCATTATAGATTTGGTTTTTATTTTATTTGTTATAACAATTCAGTCTAGTTCAATTTTCTCTCCAAATCTATTCATAAAAAATTTAGTTGTCACCAATAAACATTCACTTGTATACTTTTGTAGTTTCAAAACCTGCTATGTTTAAATAACAAACACTTTTAAGCGCACACTTTCTTATGTAACCAGTGACATAGCTCTCTAATGTTAAATTCTAGTATGAACCAATAACACAAACTACAATCTATCTTAACTTGCGCCGCTTTGGCATACTACTACTTTGACCGCCTCGCAACTTACCAAAGGCAGCTTTAGCCTTCCTTCTTTTACTGTCTTCTTCACTGTCGGACTCGTTCCCTTCCTCCTTATCTGCATTGCTTGCTTCCCTCTCAAGTTCTTCCCATGTCTTTCCCTTCTCTTCCTCTGAACCCTCATCGGAGTCTTCTTCCTCTGAACCCTCATCGGAGTCTTCTTCCTCTTCATCCTCCCCAGATCCAACAACTGATTCACTGTCATCAGTATCCGATTGTTCGTAAACTTTATCTGAGTTATCAGATTCTGAATCAGTAGCTTCCAAATTCAGAAACTCCCATCCGCCACCTACAATGAAGCTTTTTGGGACATCGGTGAGTTTCTTCAGGATAGCACGCCACATTAGATTCAACCTGCTTTCATAATATTTGATGTCTATTGTGTCGAGCCACACCTTGATGCCATCGAGTGACATAGAAGGGATAGAATCGATCCTAAGGACCATCCCGCGTGAAGTCCTTAAATACAATTGTCATATCGAAGTTCCTCTGACCAAGGCCAACCCTCTCCAGATTCACAATCTCAATATCACTTAGGGTGACAACAAGGAAAGGAGTCTCTATCAGTTCAACAAGACATGCTGAGGTAGGGACAATAAATACCGAAGATTTATGAGGTACCCCAGGGAAGCCAAGTTCTCTAAGAGGTCGATCAAACTCCAAGTCAAGGTCATTGAATTGTGGTTGTCGCCAGAGATCATGTACTCGATTCACAAAGCTTTGAAATTCTACATTAATCTTGTTCTTTCTATCTCTCTCTCTTTGTTCTTCTTCAAGCTCATCAGGATCATAAGCTGATCTCTTCCCACCTCCCACATTCTGAACCATGTCCATTACCTCAACATAAAACTGAACATCTTTGGTCTTCTTATTTCCTACCATAATATTGTTGTGCAGATGAAAGTGCAGGAGAGTAATCATTTCATTTCGTGCTGGCTGGAAGAATGCGTGTTTAATATTGGCAAACATCACATCAACACGCTCATTAGATCGGGTGGTAGAATATCGAAATCCATTCACATGAGCCTCAAGAGTGCCTGGTATCTTCCTTCCACGCCCACCAAAAGCAGGGCGAATCGATAGGTTAGACAATCTTATTGGCTTATATCTGTTGTTGGCAAGCTGCAGTTTCTCCTGGGTAACCAAAGTTGCTCTCTCGGCTCTCTCAGACTCCCTTGCTTTAACTTGTTTCCTCAGTGTTTTGATGGATTGCACAACCTCACTCATGTGAGTTGAATCCTTGGAGCGGAATATAGCTTCCTTCAAATATATAGATCCTTGGAACTTCATTGAGTTTGAATATTCTTACATAGCAATTGCGGTTGGTGTCCGGCTGGATATCTTCATTTCGAATGAAATGCACATGGAAAGGAACCATACTTCCATTAATTGGCAAGAGAACTGCTTCATTCTTTTGATCAATATGAATCATCATCTCTCTGGGACGGGGAAGGTCGTTGATGTTCTTGTAGGCGACCAGTTCTGCAGAAGACCTGGAAGAAGAACGGTTTCCTCCTGCCTCATTACCACCACCAGCAAGTCGCCTAGCAGTTTCTTCATTTTTTTGACGAGCAAGTTCTGCCTGATGCTGTCTTCGGAGTTTCTCTTTTGAAACCTCTCGATTGTTTGACCTCAGTGCTGCCTTAGACATCGAAGGCTCTGCACCACTGCGATCAGCCTTTGATTTGGGAATTTCCTTTTCATCGTCCTTATTGAAAGAATAAGCCACGCCTTTTAAAGCTTTGGAGCTCACTGAAGTCACAATATCCGTCTTGTCTTTGTTGACGATGACCGTGTCAGCAAGTAAGAGAGAGAAGACCTTGTTCTTAGTCTCACTGTTCTCACACTGCAAATTCTGAAATCCTATTGACACATTGAATGCCATGCCTTCTTTAACTATCTGGTCATTCTTCGCATTAATATCCAAACCCGATTCTCCAAACTCAATACCAATGCCTGTCCCAGCAGACTTTGTCAAGCAGGAAACCATGTGAGGGGCATCCTTCTCCACAACAGAAACTGCAGCTAGATATGCAGCACACAATTTATTTCCAGGCTTTAGAGACCCAATAACAGCCTCGTGCACTTTCAGAAGAATCTCATAAGCCTTACTCTGAATACGGTCTGCATCAATCAAGAAAGTCCTAGCTATATTCGAGCAATAGCTCTTGTACCGCGCACCGAAACCACATATAATTACACTGCCAGAGGCATAGTAAAGCGCCTCGTTGTTGCTGACAGCACTAGGCCTAAGATCAAACCTCCCCCCACTCTGAAAAACCGGACGGTAACAGATATCAACATTATCCGTCTTCAGTTTACAGTTAACTTTCAAAGGCTCCAATATAACTTTCTCCGTCTCCTCCATCAATGCAGAATGCAAAATTTTTTTCTTATCATCAATCACCTTCTCAAGCTTCAAAACTACAAAATTCTCCATCACACTAGCCGTAAGGTAGGCAGCTCTCTTGATAAACATAACTTCTTCACTACTTTTCTCCGCAAACAACGCAGAAAACCCATTCGCCACATCACTCAAAACAAACTTTGAATTTCTTAACTTCTCATCCCATGCAACAATCAGTTTCCCTTCAGGCTCCTCTCTAGCTAAGTATCCAACATTGGAATTTGAACGAGCGCGAATGGAACAAATTATAGCATCCATAAGAGAAGCTCCATCTTCGTTCCTAGCCTTGACATGCAACACAATCTCCACACCAACCGACTCTTTAGCCGATTTTTTGACAGATTCGAGAATTGTCGCTTTCTTTTGCCTGCACATTATATGAATCTGCACCTTTGTGAAAACCATTATTGTTTGCGGGAACTGGAATCCAAGAAGCCACAAGAATATAGCACTAGATTTCACAGTCTTTAAATCTTCTGAAGGTGAAGGACATGCAACAGAAACTGCATCAGAAGAACCCCAGAGATTTGTTCTGTGTTCATCCCAATGTTTATAAAATAACTTCAGTCTGGTTTGAAAAGCATTCAAATCAATAGCATAGGCCATGTTCTACTATTTCTGGAGAAAAAAAAGAACAAACAACAAGAAACATGAATAAGAAACTACAAGAACATCAAGAACACATTCAACAAGAAATTCAATCAGTTTCCAATTTTCCAAAAGATCTATAACCTAGGTAGTTTACTCGCGAGTCGCGACCAATTACATCGCGATTGCGGCGGCGCGCAACATTGCACGACGCATGTAACTGCCGTCGCGGAGTTCGGCGGCCGTTACAATGAACATTTTATTTGGAAAAAAAAACAGAAATAGGAAGAGAGAAACTACCGGAAGAATCAGAGTAGATGGAAGAGGAATGGTGAAGAAGAAATAAAAGTTCTCAAGGGTATTTATAGGTAATGCTATGGATTTGAAAAAATCAGTTTTCGAATAAATTTTCTCTTAAAATTAGATTATTCGTTATTTAAATATTCTCCTTTTTTTTATTCTTACGTAATTTTAGGAGAAAAAAAACATATGTGATCTATTTCTTCTTATTTTAGTTTTTTTTTTCATTTGTTTTTTTTTTATAAAGAGGGCCTAATCCCAAAAAGAAGAGAAAAACTACACTACGACACTTATAGAGTAAAGAGTTTCAGAAACATCACAAATTACAAATTGATTAATATAAGAAGGGATAACTTCACCAAAGTCTACATCCTCTAAGTTATCAATTCCCATCTTAGCAAGCGTGGCAGCGCACTGATTAGTTTTCTGATAATTATGACTGATTCAGACTTCATCATGTTCATCCATTAACTTGTAAATTCGAAAAAACATGTTGTAGCTATCCATATCCATCGTACTTCTATCAAATAAAGTATTGACAACGGAACTAGCATCAATGCTTAATTCTACCTTCATGAACCTCATTCTCCTTGTCAGTTTTAAACCTTCAACAATCCTCCATAATTCTGCTTGCAAAGCATTGCAATAACCAACATTCCTCCTAAAACCTCCCTTTGGATTTCCATGATGGTCCCTAATTATTCCCCTACACCCAGCTTTTTCACTTTCCTTGCTTGCCCCATCAGTATTTAGTTTAACCTAATTTTCCATGGGTGACATCCACTTGAAAGAAGCCTCTTCCTTCTCCCATACCAATCACAATATTACAAGTACTCATGGCTTTTCCATAATCCTTTACCTGTTGATAAATGAAGGGTACTGGACAATATGGTCTCTGATAATGCCACATCCACAAACAATGACATCCCACTGCCCAGTATGTACACCATTCTTCAGGCGCATGCAAATTCAAATTTATCCACTCATCCAAATTTATCATATAAAAATCGCTCTGCAAATACACTGGCACTTTATCCTTCCAGACTTGCAACACTTTGGGACGGTTCTGCGCCATATGCAAAGCAGATTCTACTGTACTTCGACATAAAGCACAACCAACACTTCCCATACCTCTATGACTTTTTTTTGCAATTTCGTCCACTGTCTATCGTGAGCCATTAACCAAATAAAACTTCTCACGTGCTCCTGAACATTTAACTTCCACAATTTCTTCCACCGAGGATTATCTTCAGCCCCGGAATCCACCAAACTCGAATATATTTCCTTGACTGAATAACTAGTCTTTGTAGCCCCTGCAAGGAAATATTCATCGTGCCCCATCTCAGCATTAGGAGGCAACAAAGCTTTGATTTTCTGAAGGCAATCTTCCGGTAGCCAATGCTTGAACTTGTCCCAATCTCAACTTCCATTTGAATCCACCATATCCTTTAAGTTAACATTGAGGAGATTATGAGGAATTGTAACATTCCAGTCGACTATAACAACGCCACTTCCCACCCAACACTCGTCCACTGTTTAATTCTCGCCCCATTTTTGATACCCCACATGCCACTTCAGCCACTGTGTTCCAAGCAGTTCCAATTGTTGGTGCACAAAGAAGAGATGAAAGGTAAAAGAAATATATTTAATGACGACTACAAAAATAAGGAATAATGATTTACAATGGATTACATTGAGCTACCTCACTAGGCTATTTATACACAAAAATTAAATCTAAAATATATCTTCAAACAAAGATATAAGAAGATCTAAGATATATATCTTCTAACAAAGATATAAACAATCTAAAAGATATTCCTAAATATAAATTAATTATAAAATCTAAATTAATTCTAACACGATCCCTTAAGTTATATTTTATCCAAAACTGACAACACCAATTCCATCCCTCAAGCGAAGAAATTGATCAGTTTTGATAGCCTTTGTCATAACATCTGCCAGCTGCTTTTGGGTGCTACAGTGCACAACTTCTAATATTCCATTCTGAACTTGATTCCTCATAAAATGATACTTGGTCTCAATATGCTTGCTTCTCCCATGCAACACTGGATTCTTAGCAAGATTGATTGCAGACTTGTTATCAATCATCAACTTCAGAGGTTTATTTACCTCAATCTTCAGATCTTTCAGCAAGTTCAGAATCCACACAGCTTGACACACAGTCAGAGCTCCTGCAATATATTCAACTTCACAAGTTGACAGCAAAACAACAGGTTATTTCTTGGAACACCAAGAAATAGGACCTCCCAGAAATGTGAATAAGTACCCAGAAGTACTTCTTCTGTCAACTCTATCTCTGCACCAATCAGAATTAGAATAACTCAGAAGTTCTAATTCAATCTTTCTTCCAGACGGAAATAATACTCCATATTTCAGAGTTCCCTTTACATACCTCAGAATCTTGACAGCAGCTTGGTAATGAGACCACTTTGGTTTGCTCATAAATCTGCTAACCATTCCAACTGCATAGCAAATATCAGGTATGGTATTACACAAATACCTTAGAGAACCAACCATTTTTTTAAAGGTTGTAGCATCCTGTAATTCGGTGGGATAACTGACTTGGGTGTTTTGTGTTTGATCGCAATTGTTGCGGATAGCAAGAGTCGCCACCGACTTTTCTTTTATCCAATAAAGGAAAGGGTGAAAAGAACAGGAAAGACCTTTGAGATTATTTCTTGAGTTTGGGGGGTAGGTTATGAAAAGAGAATATGTTAGCACCCTTTTCATCCGTAGTTATCTACGGGCTCTTAGTTTCTTGCTAAATCACTTACTTTTGTTTGAAAATGTGCTTGCGGTGTGGGTTTGAAAATATTTTGAAAACGTCTTTGTAATGATTCTCGTCTCTATAAGAATGCGTACAAAGTGATGGTTTTGAAAATAGTTCAAAGAGGTGTTTGTTTGTGGAAGATGTTTTTGAAAGTGATTTTTAAAAGTGCCTTTGTAATGATTCTCGTCTATAAGAATGCATTCAAAAAGCTTTGTCTTTTGAAAATGTTTCAATTGAAAGTGTTTGGTGTGAAAATGTTTTTTATTGTGAGCAAGCGAGCAACTAGGAGCATCCTACCCACTCAAAAGGTTTAATGTTCTTTCCCTCCTCCTTTAGATGTTGCTATCTTACCATTGATTTAATAAGATGCTCCATTGTTGGATGTGAAGGGACAGGCGCGAGTCAATCGTACAGTCATAGAAGGCAACTTGTGAGACGCTTTAGCAATTTTTGTAAGGGACTAGATCCTTTTATCAAAGGCAACATCGAGGGACATCGAGGTACTAAGATCTTTTTTATCGAAGGGTCTTTGTTAAAGCGTCCCATATTCGAGGGACATGACTGTGGTTTCCAAGGCAACAAGCAAGGTTACCCTAGAGGTGCGTGTGTGCAGAGTGTGTTCGATTCAAGTTAATTTGTCTTTGATTAGGGTTGTCTAGTGTGATACCGTGGTAGAACTGACTGTTATATACTGGTTTGCATTTTGTATTTGCAAATGTGTTGTAAACAAGAGTCGCCACCGACTTTTCTTTTATCCAACAAAGGAAAGGGTGAAAAGAACAAAAAAAGACCTTTTTCGAGATTTTCTGAGTAAGGGGGGTAAATTATGGAAAGGGAAGGTATTAGCACCCTTTCCATCTGTGGTTTTCCACGGGCTCTTAGGTACTTGCTCATTTTTTGAAAACTATTTGTGTTTGTGCGTTTTAAAAGATTTTTGTTTTCTTTATGGTAACTCTTATATCAGTCCTCAAAAGTGTGATAAAGCATTTTTGAAAATAGTTTTTGAAAAATGTGTAAGGGTAGAAAATTCAGATTTGAGAAAGTACTTAAGAACAGTCCACCTACTCGATAAAAGACGTTCTTTTCCTCATACCCTTTAGATAGTTTTATCCTACTATTAGTGAGTAGGTAGCTGTTGAGGGACTATCGAAAGGGACGTTATGGTCATTGAAGGCAACATGTAAGGACATCTTAGCATTCGAAGGGATTGTCATCATATAGGCAACATCGAGGGACAAGATCATTTATCGAAAGGCAACTCGAGGGACGTAAGGGACTATGATATTTTATGATGACTTTTAACCTGAGGGTCATTGCTAAGATATCCCTACGTTTGAGGGACATGACCATTTCCAAAGGCAACCAAGTGAGGAATACCCTAAAGATGCAAGCGTGAGAAGTGTGTTTTTTCCAGTTATATTATCTTGAGGTTAGTGATCTAACGATTAATTGACTTTATCTTGTCATGCACGCCTAAATTACTAACAATTATATACAAGCATGTAAGAAATGTAAAAGCGAGAAATAAAGTCCTACAGCTGTTACAGGGCTTCGGGACAGTTACAATTATATCTGACTAAAATGTAAAGTGCAAAAAATAAAAAATCCTAATTAGGGCTATTACAATCCATAATCGGTTACATTATTATATAAAATGCGAGAATAATAATAATGCTCGCGAAATGAAATATTACGTCTAAAAAATTCTAAGTAAAATTTTTTTTTGGTTGTTTTTGTTTATTTAGGAAAATACTAAATTAAATTAAACCTAAATTTAATTAATTAAAACAAAAGAAAGTTATTGATCAAAATTAAATTCTAAACAAAAACCTAACATTTTTTGCATTTTTTATTTAAGAAAATATTTGAATGAAATAACCTAAGTCTAATTGGTTTTAAAGTTAATAAAATAAAATTAAAATAGTTA